AGACGACCGCGTACTATGTTTACTAAAGAAAAGCTTGTATGGGTTGAAACATGCATCACGCCAATGGAATATACGAATTGTACAGTTGCCAGTAGATTTCGGTTTTGAACAATTATGGGCCGATTTATGTGTTACACAGCAAACAACGATGTAGTATACCTGGTACTATATGTCGATGACGGCCTAATATGCAGCAATATTTCCAGCGTAGTAAAAAAATTACTACATAAATTGCACATTGAATTTGAAATAACTCAACGCAAAGCCGAATGTTTCGTAGGTTTTCAGATCCAGGTTGACAAAGAAAAGAAAACACTGAAATTATTTCAACGCGTCTACGCCAAAATGATCTTAGAGCGCTTTAACCATCTTAATTGTTTCCCAGTGTCTGCGCCCGCCGAGATTGGTATACATTTTTCCAAAGATGATGCAGATAGTTTTGACAGTAAGAATGTTCCATACCGCGAAGCAATAGGGTCACTTATGTATTGAATGATTTGTACCAGGCCTGACATCGCTTATATCGTTGGCGTACTAAGTAGATATTTGGAAAAACCTGAACTGTCACACTGGCAAGGTGTAAAAAGGGTTCTAAAATATCTAAAAGGTACTTTGGATTATGGTATACATTTTCATTTGAACTCCAAATCGTTACAGCTTGAGATGTATTCTAACGCTGATTGGGGTGGAGACCCAGATACAAGGAATAGCATCACAGGTTGGGCAGCATTTTTAAATGGTGGACCAATTTCTTGGAGCTTACGAAAGCAAATGGTGACTGCAACTTCCACAACAGAAGCGGAGTTTGTTGCTCTTTGTAGTGCAGCAAAAGGAGCCAAATGTTTAAGACGATTAATGTAATGTGGACATGAACAGCATTTTCCAACTCCATTGTTTTCGGATAATCAGCGAGCGATAACTTTGGTCAGGAGTCCTCAGTCGGCGAAGCGTACAAAGCACATCGAAGTACAGTATTTCTACACTTGTGATTTGCAAAACCAGCGGGAAATCGATGTGAAATATTTGGAGACGATATTTTTACTAAGGCTTTAAGCAAAGATAAATTCATGTATTTAGCTCAAGCTTTTGTACATTACTAAACGGAATTTATTTTCAGAAAGAGAGAGGGGGTGTTGAGAAATCACTTTCCTTATTAAATATGGCAACCTTATTATGGTTACTTTTGACATTAACTATGGTGTAATTTTTCATTTTGGTTTTTCTCATCCGCCCTTTTTCTTTCCTTTTACATTTTGAGCTCCTACGTGATTAGACGTATTCTACATTCTACATTGCATATTTTTAATAAAAACTTTCTACACTCAAAATATTTAAAGAGCTTTATGAAGTAAGATTTAAAAACCAAATTTCGATCTATGAAGAACTGTTTATTATTTTTTTTGAGTGTTTATGTTAGTTAATAGCTTTTCGAATGTAATCACAAAATATGTAAAGTACCGACTTTCTCTTTGAAATTTAATTTATAATCTTATAAATGGAGGCTACTATCGCATCCTTTCCTCAAACGTGTATTAATTCAATATGCAAATACCGTATATTTATCTAATTTGAAAAAAATGTGCCTACTACACAAATATGTACCACAGTATTAACTAATATTTTCAAATGTTGTGAGAGGGAGTAAATACTTTTAAGGCGCAGCGAAGCACGCCGGGTATTTTCAAGTATTTAATAATAAAATTAAATATTTCAAACAGGTGGCCGCCTTCCAAAAAATATTTTCGCCTGTAACAGCCATCTGACTGTAAAAAAATTCTCATACCCATACAATTTGTATGAAGCCTACCGAAATAACTCGGCGTAAACGCTTAGCGGTTAGAAAATCCGATTTTGACAGGATATTAGGAAATAAAGTTGGCTTCAGAAAACGGCGAAACTGTTATTTTCGTAGTTCACATAAACAAACCTATGCTTATTGTTGGTGTTATTTCTTCATTTGGCGTAGCGTTGCAGCTTTTGTTTAGGTATTGTATTTCGGCGTTAACGCTAGGCGTCAGAAACCGCCCAGCCCAACGCTTTTATGTAGGTATGGCAGTCGGCTTTCTTTAACCTTTTACTTTTGACAGACATACTTCAACATTTACTTTATCTTATCAACATTTACCAGATTAGCTCCGGTTTTCGAGATAACGGTACTTGAAATTTTGATTAAATTTTAACTATTTTATAAATAACTCCCTCAGTTTTGAAGTTATTTTACTAAACTTTTGCACATAACGGTTTTTTAATATTACCTTAATTATTCCTTAAAATTATCGAAATGGGTGCACTTTAACGTATAGCTCCAATACAACTGATTACTCAGATATGTGTTTTTGCGCTATAACTCTAACTTCATATCTGAATAATAAATTGTATGCGTGCTATATGTTAAATTGAACCTATACTAAATTTTAACCTGTTTAATTGGAGGAGTTATAACGCAAAACATCGTCTCTGGTCAATCAGTTGTATGGAAGCGAGATATTTTAGTGAACCGATTTCGATGATTTTATGGAATAGTTAAGATAATATTAAAAAACGGCTATGTGCAAAATTTTAGTAAAATATCTTCAAAACTCCGGGACTTTTTTATAAAATAGTTAAAATTTTAGCAAAGTTTCAAGTACCGCTATCTCGAAAAGTGGAGCCAATAGGGTAAAACTGAGGACGCCATTGAATTTAAAAGGCTCCAATTAAGTAAGAGCGACTATCAGAACATTTGTCGAAAAAAAAGTTGCTTTGATACCACTCTCGAAATATTCTGACTAAAAGAAGGAGCATCATTAAAATTATTAAATCAGGGTTTTTACACACTTCTAGAGAAAATTTTGTTGAAGCATTTTACAGGTATATGTAATTTTGTAAGGACTAGTAGTTATAGAAAGATTTAGATCGTTTCGACGTATTTTCCAAATGTGCCTTCAATTAAGGTGGTTTTGGAATAAAAATTACGCTCAAGATCACAGAATATTTTATCTTTAAAAGTTAGTTTATTCTGAAAGCACACCTCTTGCTAAGGTATCAAATTATTCGTAATTGTTTGTAGAATGCAATACATACTTAAAAAGTTCTTAAAATTAAATGCTTCAAAACCTATACGCGATAAACCGAAAATTTTGAAAATTGTGAAATGTGGAGTTACAGACTTTGAGTTACTTGTCATTTCGTTATTTTTTAATGCACACTTTTCTTACCTACTACATATGAAGTGTACACATAAGTGCTAAATGCCCATTTAATTTCAAATCAGAATATGGTGTGCTTCAAAAGTTATGACATAATTAATTGTGCCTCTCTTAAAAATTACATAAAAAATTCACTTGTTTTCATAATTGTTTTAATTTAAACACCTATAATTCAAAAGTTATGCAGCAAATTGATCCAATTTTTTTTTTTAGGCTTCATGTATACGTCAATGAATTATATCCAAAAGCAACCAGCTTGATTTAGTTTACAACAGTGAAAATAAAGCTAAATAACACAAAGGTTACCTGTTTTTTAGATTTGCCCATATTTATAGAATTAAGCTTGAGAGTTGCAAAATCGAAGAACATACTTGCACTTGCAGTTCATTCGGCAGGGGAAAAGCAGTTGATATATAAATGGCTTTCCAAACGAAGTGCTCTTTTTTTGTCCCCCCTTTTTAATTTTTTTTTATGGTGGTAAAAATGAAAAATCAAAAGCAGCATTATACGATCCAAATAATAAGCCACTAGCAAAGCTATTTTTATTTGTTATTGTAAGCCGTCTTGTTTTCTTTTGCAAACGCTATTATTTTGTATATTTTACCTACTTCATATAAAAATATTTCTCCTCGCTCAGGTTATTCGATAATCAAGCTGAAAAAAGTTTAAGCAAAGAAACAATGAAAAAATGCGTAATTGTTTGTAAATGACCACCTTAACTTTTATTGTTATTTTCTATTTTCGCCTGAAAAATTTTATCATCATAAGCGTGGCTTTCTATTATAATACTGTCCCCCCGAAATTTCCTGAATGTCACTTTTTTCTTTCCCTTGTTCATATGTTTTCGTTAAATCAGACTCTTAGAAAAAAAGTGAAATATTGCCACAATGTCATTTTTGGCGAAAAAGGATTTTTTTATTTAAAATTGTAAAAATCTCCAAAAGTGTTCAAATGTCATATATGGGAAATTGCTGCCGAAGAAAGGTTAAATAAAAAGCCTGGATTCCAAGAAAACCCATTACATGAAACCATGAAAAATGCAATGATATGCAAATGTTTAAAAAGCATGCATTCAATGTTAGTATACTTTTTTCTAATAGTTTCTAAACTTATTTAATCCTTTAACTTACTTTTAAAACAGTAACATTCTGGAAAATATTTTACAAAAATTCAATTAATAAAAAAAAAAATATTTTTGAAGAGCCTGAAAGCAGTTTCGTATTCCGCAAAAATTTTCACGTCGATAAATGGTTTCAGAGGATAAATTTACCAATCTTAAACAAATATATAAGTAATACTTTCTATGAACGTTTTGTTTGGAAATTACCCAAGTAACAAAGAAACGTAAATTTTGCCGACAGTGCACTTTAGTTAAATTTTCCGTATCCGAAAACGCATAGAAAACCTTCTACCATTATCATCAATTTTCGTATCCGTAAAACGTTCGAAAAAGATGATGCCATTTGAAAGCAATAATTGTATTTTATTTGTTCAAGCTAAACATTTGAAAGCACGCATGCGTAGTCGGCAGTGGCTGAGCGTGCACAGGAGTGTGCCGCTATTTGTTAGTAGGTGCCGGGCAGAGCTGTAAAATGATTGAATCAGTAGGATCTGCATTCACTCGACATTCTTTTCAAAATTTTGATTGTTTGTTTGCATGATACAATAATTTTTAGAAGGTAGTTTCACTTCATGATGCAATAATGAAAGGTGTTATACGTTGGCAACTTCTCGCTCTAATCCGCCATCTTGAACTACCTTAGGAGAAACTGTGTTGTTTCTTTGCTATTTTCACTGAACATTTCCCAAAATATTAGAAAAAAATCCTGAACAAGCTACATTGATTCAATTTTCGTTGTTCGTTTTGTTCTTATTCGCTGACATTTGTTTTCCAATTGCGTGAAATTTGGTAAGTATTGTAATAAAACCGAATTATTTTACAAATAAATTATAATTTTGCATTTATTAGGTCATTTCCTTAGTGTTTCGCTGACCGACCTGTGCTGGTATTGTGATTAAGAGCTAATACACGTAAGTTACAACATATTATTTTGACTTTATTGATGAACCATTCCATTTGAGCTCTTTGTTATTTCAAAACCTAATGAACCATTTATTCGCAGATTTTTCGGACGATTCTGCTGTGCTGCGTTCCTGCTCCGCCTGTATATTGCTCCGCCCGTATTTTATAGTGTTGCGTTCCTGTTGCGCCTTTGCATTAGTGTGTGCGTTGTGATTTAGACACGTTGAAGTAAGTTGAAACCAGGTTCTCGTTTGTTAAAAACCTAAAAAAACATTTATTTGCAGATTTTTTGTATGCTTCTGCTGTGCTGCGTTCCTGCTCCACCCGTGTATTAGATTGCTGCGTTCCTGTTAACATACATATCGTCGCTTAAAGTACAAAACCGCGTAACTGACATTTGCTGCTAAAAATTGGATTCGCTCACACACGTTTTTGGATCAATCCTTATCCATTCTTCCTGAAATATACTAGCCAAAAATGCGATTGCTTTTTACAAAAAGATAACCATTTTGAAATATGAATGTTTTTACTCTCTAGAAATTAATTTATGCAACCTCGCATACGTGGGTTTGCATTATCTCTATACGCGGTTTTGCAATTTATTGATACATGGTTTTTTACTTTAAACGACGATATGTATGTAGATGTATGTACATGTATATCACATATATTGACTTAGATATGTATACACAATTAATGGTGTACATAAATTTTTTTATATTGAAACTAGATATGTATATAGTACATATTTTATTATTATTAGTCGGTTCAAAAAAGTCCTATCTCAAATAAAAATACTTCGAAAATGTGCTGAGATAGGGTGTTTTTGAACCGAGTTCCGAGATAGGGCATTTTTCAATCAAATTCTAAAATAGGGCGTTTTTCAGCCAAATTTTGAAATAGGGCGTTGAAAAGCTTTCTGATATCGGGCGTTTTCGACCTGGCTGCCGAGATAGGTCGATCTTCTACTCAGCCATCGATATATGGTCGAAGTTTTCGTTATATAGAAGACGATTAAACACGATTTGTTTTTAATCGATTCTAAAAAAACCAAGGTCATTTATAGCCACTTCAAACTTGCATATAATTGAAGGGGCTATAAAACTGAGTGCTCAAAAAAATTCTAACACTTCTGAGAAAAAAGTTTGAATTTTGGTTGAAAATTTGTTGTATTTTTTGTAGTTTTCTACGAAGTTTTAAAATTCGGTTTATATGAGTTTTGTTAGAAATTCAACTTTAATTTTGTTGCAAATTCTTAGCAATAAATAAATTAACATGAGAGGGAAATAATATTACTTTGAAATGGGGTTGCTATTGATATGACCGATACTGTATGTATATAATAAATTTTGTACAATTAAAAAAGTGGATTTACTAAAATGAACACAACGTATTAATTACAAATTCTGAAATATGTCGTCAATTTCAAAAACAAATAAATAAAACTTTAAAAAGTAGTCAATGCTTGCTGTATGACACGAACTTGGATATACGTGGACTTGGGTAATGTATAATTCCTTATATGATTCCTCAAAGTATCCCTTGTATAACACTGTGGAACACAAAAAAACCTTAGTGCGACTATATCAGGTTTGATAGCTGTTAGCCATACCAATAATGCCTCATACTAAGATTTACTAGATCAATTCGTGTTCTCCGAGAAAAAAAATTTTCACGATCCAAAAATCTGAAAAATTGTTTTTCTCCAAAGTTTGAACATTTATCGTTTTTGGCCTATATTTTGTTGAAAATACCATACAAAGCAAATATAGGGCAAAAAACAAAGAACTTTCAAAATTTTGAGAAAAGAATTTGGCGGCTATACTCAGATTTTTGCATCGTGACATTTTTTTTCTCGAGAACACGAATTGATCTAGTAAAACTGAGCATGAGGCATTATTGGTATGGTCAACAGCTATGAAACCTGATATATGCGCACAAGAAGCCTATATGAAAGAGGGGGACAAAAGATCACACGTAAATGAATTCCTCTTTTTGGCCTGTACAATATAAGGGACAAATTTCAAATTCATAAGGGAGAATTTTCTTAGTGATACGGCTCATAAAAGGAATTATATAAGCCATATTGTTCTAGCTGGGTATTCATCAGCGCGAAAATTTTAAGCATATTATCATATTCCTGTGAATAAAAACACGCCTAATTTTATTATTTTAATTATCTACAATTTTATGAGACTACCAAGCCATATATATACCTATTCTGATAATCGGAACGCTGTTGAGAAGGCATACAATTTAGTACTTTTTTAACTAAAAGGCTTTTTTTTATTTCCGTTTATCTTGTACTTCCAAAATACAATATTGACCTAAGGTAGTTCGATTTCGAGCTGTCACAACGTACAACACCTTTCATTATTGCATCATGGTTTCACTTCTTCTTCTTATCCGCCATGTTAGCTATCTGACAGAAAACGTGTTTCGTATTTTTTGTTGTACCAACTTTTTCAAAAAAAAAATCCAGCTTTTGACGTTGGAAAAATAATTAATAATTTTCGAATATCTTTTAATATTTTTCTTCATAAAAAGTTAACTGCTGCTTTCGTGGATATTGCAACACACGGAATAGGTGTAAGGATACAGCTATAAGAGCCACCGCATACCACAGAGTTTATCGACCGCCTATTTAATTAATAGGGCTCGCTTGAAATATGTACATGATGATGTATGGAGGTGCGCACACTACACCAGCTTAATCGCTCCGACCAATAAGTTGTGGTGCAATGGAAAGACTAGCGAGCCCATCTAAGTCGGCGGCCGATAAAGTCCGTGGTGTGCGATGGATCAAATCCATTATAAACAAGAAATATTGCCGTTATATTTTTTTTATAGGGGAAACTTTCCATTATGGGCGTTCGTTGAAGGTGCGGTGGGCGAAGGGGGAGTGGGCGTGGCACCTCCAACCGACCTTTACGTACGTATTTAATACATACATTTTTGCCACTGCTAATCACATGAATAAAAATGTTAAAAAGGGTTGGCTTTCCTTTATGGCCGTTCGTTAAAGGGGCGGTGGGCGAATGGTAAGTGGGCATGGCACCTCTAACCCACCTTTTTGGAGAGCGAATGAACCACCATTGACAAAAATGCAACCCCCGACCACCTAGGCCCCCTATGGTTCCCTACGACTCCTTAGAAAAATGGCCAAAAATCGCAATTTTTACTTGCGTCCACAGTATTTTTGTGTAGAATTCCTTTCTGCGTAGGCGGCCTTCGGCCGCGCTTAGGGATTATAGACCTTACTACGTAGAATTCTCCTTTCTGTGTGACCTAACTGTGGCTACCGCCCCAGTGAAGCAACCTTGGGAGAGGATTAGGTAACTAGAATTCCCTTTCTGTGTGGTAAACCTGGGGCTGCCGCCCCAGTGATGCCGATTTTGGTTACTGGGTGATTTATAAAAATGTCTTGTATATAAAAATGTGTATATAAAAATGTATTGTGCAAATGAATATTTAACATTTTTTAAGCGAATAAACGCAAATGAAAATTGTGATTTTTGGCAATTTTTCTAAGGGGTCGCTAGGGAACCATAGGGGACCTAGGTGGTCGGGGGTTGCATTTTTGTCAATGGCGGTTCATTCCCTCTCCAAAAAGGTGGGTTAGAGGTGACACGCACACTTACCATTCGCCCACCGCCCCTTTAACGAACGGCCATAAAGGAAAGCCAACCCTTTTTATGATTTTTATTCATGTGATTAGCAGTGGTAAAAATGTATGTATTGAATACGTATATTTATATTTAAAATTAAGTGATCAGTTATGAAACATATAAATCTTTACATGTTCTGTTAAAAAATATCTAAAATAGCAAGCGAAAATCCCCAAGTTCTGTATCGTAGCAGTGGCCACATTGCGTGTTTGTCACAGACACGGTTTATGTCAAAAATTTTGAAGTGAAACTACCTTCAAAAAATTATTGTATCATGGTTTGTTTGTATACAAAAAACCTCATTCCTGAGTGGCTTAAAATGCTTGAAAACAAATAAACTGTGTTGTGTTATTGAATGGTAGATTGACATTCAGTATGGAATGTGAATGTAACAGAAGCATTCGCACACACACATGATTGTATATTTAAAATGAATGCACACGGTTTTGCCATTCAGTACTGATACTTTTTTCCCAGGGTTGATATGTTTTATACTTTAAAGTTTAAACATATCTGGAATTGAAAAATATATATATATGTATACGTATGTATGTATTTCAACGTGTATGTATAGACGTTTTCTGTCATAAACCAATGGCCAATGACTGGTGCGAAATCAGTCCAAACAAACATCGCAACCGTCGAGCACAAAGGACATATCTTGATACATACATATACATATATTAGATTCGAAACTAGTGAACTGTACATAGAAATATAAAACACTGTCAATAGAATTGACAATTTTTAAAACTCTTGCTTGAAAAAACTTAAGAATTTCATTATCGGCATCTGTCCCTTCGTATTATAGACTTTTAGAACTATAACAGGTCTATTCTGCACGTAACCGAAGATTTTGTAACCGGAAAATTTTATTACCAAAAATGTTACCTGTTCATGTCACCGCGATTCTAGGAACGTTGGTAATGCTATATATTCAGCAATTCAGCCATGAAGAATTGTGGAAATTCTGGCATTGCATATTTCACGGGGCAATATTTTGTTACCAGCTTATGAGATGGTAACAAAATTTACCGGTTACAAGAGTACACCAATTGCGAAAAAGGTTTAAAAATTTACAGGAACTTTATATACCGGTAACAAAATTTTTATTACCAGCGCAGAATACACCTGTAAATGGTTGTTTCTCTGGATATATGCAATTACTTTCTATTTATAGATTTTCTGAAGCCATCTTGTTTTTTTTTCAAATCGAGACAGAAGACACTCTGCGTTTTGATGCCTCGTGTATACGAGTAGTTTTTAATGTTACTCTTAAATACCTACACATTTTGAAATCATCACCATCTGGGGCTCCATCATAGCAAATTTTATATACTTATACATACTTACATATTTACATATGTAACTGCACAGATGGCAATAAAAGCGTATTTAGCTTCTGTGTTTTCATTTAAACACGACATACATACATTAGTTACAAGTGAAATTATATTATAAAGAATATATGTATATATAAATTTAATTTATATGAATTTTTTTCTATTAATTTTTTTCTTCAGTTTTCAAATTTGAAAGCTTTCAAAACGAAATTTTATAAGGGTTCTTGTTTTCTTTAAAGAGGGGTTGAGGAGTTACATTGAAAATTTTTATTAATTATTAATTAAAAGGTGTCCTTTTTAAACATCTTTACTACGCACTTCTGCAGGAGGGTACTATAACTTTTCTAACGTAACGGATATTTGGAACAACCAAAATCGAGATAGATATATACTACATTTATGTAAATATGTATGTATACACCGTAAATGCCCAGAATAAAAAGAGAAGTTGATTAGTCCATGTCCGTCTGTCTGTCTGTCCGTTTGTTTGTGTACACGATAACTCTAGGAAAAGTTTAGATATCGGAAGAAAATTCGGTACGCGGGTTTTCCTTTATGCTCAATGAAATGAGTATAAATTCTTAAATATTGCACTTACGGAAAAGGATGTTAAT